CAAAGCATTCAAATATGTGAACCTATGGACCCATTCTTATTCAAACCACAGATGGAATGTAAAGATTAACACCCAAGGCTGTCCTCAGACTGCCACATGTGTGTTATGGCATGTGAAGCCCCTCCCCTCACAACGATTTTATCTATCATCTATCTATCTGTCTGTCTGTCTGTCTGTCTGTCTGTCTCTCTATCATCTATCTAGTTTTCCAAGACAGGGTTTTTCTGTGTAACTCTGGTTGCCCCGAAACTCACCCTGTAGAACAGGCTGGCCTCGAACTCAGAGATCTGCCTGTCTCTGCTCCTCAAGTTCTAGTATTAAAGATGTGTGCCACCATGCCCAACTCTGCAACAACTTTTTTTTTTTGTTTTTGGTTTCTCAAGACAAGATTTCTCTGTGTCATAAATAGCCCTGGCCTACCTGGAACTCACTTTGTAGACCAGTCTGACCTAGAACTCACAGAGATCTACCTGCTGGAAAGATTTACGTATAGGTTTAGATCTGTTAAACACACACTCATGGACAGTGTGCCACCACGTTCAGCCTTCTTCCATCACCATACTTGGCTCACAGAAACTTTTTTGAAAGATGAAGTCAATGGACTTAGTGGTAAGGATTTCATAATAGTCAAAGCGAACCCAGATCAGGGCTGTGAGAATGGCTCAGTTGGGAGAGTACTCTCCTTGAAAGCATGAAATCCTGTGCTGTATCCCTAGAACCCACATAAAAATGCTGAGCATGAGCTAGGAATACTGCTCATTGGATAAAGTGCTTGCTGACAGCCTAAGGACTAGAGTTCTGATCCTTGTCACTGAAAGAAAAGCTGACTGGGGCGTTGTGGGGTGCTCTTTCTTCTGCTCACTAGCCCACTTCTATCCTGTGGAGTGCTTTTCTCAATAAGCTCTATGTCTGTTCCTACCACATGTCCCTGGCACAGTCATTTGCACTGGGACACAGGAGACTGGAATTAGGTCCCATCTGAACTCAGAACTATGACTTGGCACTGCTAAACATGCTTTCCGTTACTCTCTGAAGCCTCCCTCTCGTTCTGCCATGTGGCCTCTTGCCAATCTCCACTGTGAAAGGCATGGCTTTCTCTCTTTCTCTTCTCCATCTTCTTTCTCCGGGCAGCTGCCAGGATTTACAGCTTGCTTGCCCTCAAAACTGCAACAAAATTGTCCTTGAGCTTAAAAACAAAAGCTGGGGAGGCATGGCAGCTCACCTGCAGTCATATCACTCAGGAGGCAGATGCAGCGCACAGGGGCTAACTCCTCTAGTCAAAGCAGCTCAGACAGAGACTCCGCTTCAGTAAATGAAGTGCAGAGTGCTAGGAGAAGACAAAACATCAGCCTCTATGAGCACAGACACACATATGCATACATTCAGACACACCCAAGAAAACACAATGCCAAACAGAGAGACACAAACTTGTGATTCCACTGCTAGGAAAATGGAGGCAGAAGGGCCCCAGGAGTTTGCTGGTCAGTTGGGCTAGGTAAGCTCCAGGCCAATGAGCAACCCTGTCTCAAAGGAGGTGGAGAACATTCCTCAAGAGAACTCACAAGTTCACTTCTGATTTCCATGAGTGCACACATACAATCACATGAACGCCCACACGTAAGCATAAAAAACAAAACAAAAAACCCAGGCTCAATCATGTTTTCTTCATTGTTATTGTTTAATACTTATCCCTGGCTCTGAAGACTGGTCTCAGGCACTAACCCACAGAGACTAAGAGGTGAAGAATAGCTTTAAAAACAATCTGGGGGCTGGAGAGATGGCTCAGAGGTTAGGAGCACTGACTGCTCTTCCAGAGGTCCTGAGTTCAATTCCCAGCAACCACATGGTGGCTCACAGCCATCTATAATGAGATATGGCACCCTCTTCTGGCATGCAAGCATACATGGAAGGAACGTTGTATACATAATAAATAAATAAATCTTAAAAAAAAAACCAATGGAACCTGTCTCTAGAATAATGGAGAGTGAGCATCAAAGCAATAAAACACATGCATGGTGACCCATGCCACTTAGTGAATTTCTATTTTACAACCAAACCAATCCTGATAAAACTCAGCCAGACTCTCATTGAGAAGAGCACTCCTCAGGGGTACTGCTACCTGTAACAAAGCTCTGAGGAGTGGTTGTAGGGTGTGTGTGAGCACTTGCCAATGCTTGTGCCTGTGGAGGCTAGCGGTAGACTCTGGATAGCTTTCACTACTGTGTCAGGCCTTTATGTGGGCTCTGGGCATCCAAACTCAGGTGCGATGCTTGCATGACAGGGACTTCACCATTGAGCCATCTCCCCAGACCTTCTTCAATATCTTCTGAGTCAGACATATAAGAAAATTAAGCCCAGTATATAATCCTTCATAGTATCATTTGAGTTTTCCATGTTAAAATCCATGGAAGTACTGCGGGAAAGGTCGTCATCTGCAGGAGAAAGGGAAGCCAGCCACATAGACCCCCTTCTTTCCCCACCCCATAGTCGATCTTACTTT